TGTTCTATCGGAGGCTCCAACTCCTCGAGCTCTCCAACTGCCTGATTTCCGGGTTAGTTGGAACTAAGAGGTTTGGCCTTAGTAGAAACAGCACGTTATCAATCTCAGGTGCCCCACTCAAGCGGCGGCCATATTGAGTGGGGTACCTGAGATTGATATAACGTGCAAGGAATAGGGAGGGGGCGGGGATAGCGTGCTCCATGTATCTCCTCCTATGAGAGGAGGTTATTCAAGTTTCCCGGGGCGTGGTCAAAGAGAGGCTTGGAGTTGAACGTCCGGTCAGCTGATTCTCCTCAAGCGTCTGAGTGAGATGTCGGTCAGAAGATCAGTCAGTCAGTCATATCAAAAATGGCGTCTCACCGTGGCCAGAGGTCACCACCTGACTCCTAGAGAGGAGAGGACAGACAAGTATGGAGGACGGGGGGGTCACCAGATATAGGAATGGCCGGAAGAAGTGGGCGGGGAAGATGTATTGGAGGAGGGGAACCTTCAGGCCCCAGGAAAATCACCACAAGAAGATGGCGATCTTAGGAGAAGAGAACCTGTCACGGGGCAGAAACTTCCACTCTGTGGATTCAGAGATTGTATATTCAACGGAACTCCATTCAGAGACGGCGTGTCCCCCCTTCCACCAGATAGTTACCATAGTAACCAATGGCGTCACGAGGGGGGTGTGGCCTTCTACTGCTCTGATAGTAAACACCTCCTCCTTGTACTGCTCTGACAGAAAACACTCCGAAGGATGAACATGGCAATGAGAGGGGGCGGGGACAAGAAGCAAACCTATAAATGTATGATATAAAAGGAGGTGGGAGTTCAGCCATAACCCCGCCCCTCACTATAAGAGGGGGTGGGAGATCATCCATAACCCCGCCCCTCAGGTGGGAGTTCAGCCATAACCCCGCCCCTCACTATAAGAGGGGGTGGGAGATCATCCATAACCCCGCCCCTCACTATAAGAGGGGGTAGGAGATCATCCATAATCCCGCCCCTCACTATAAGAGGGGGTGGGAGTTCAGCCATAACCCCGCCCCTCACTATAAGAGGAGGTGGGAGTCCAGCCATAACCCCACCCCTCACTATAAGAGGAGGTGGGAGTCCAGCCATAACCCTGCCCCTCACTATAAGAGGGGGTGGGAGTTCAGCCATAACCC